GCCTCGGGACAGTATTAAAACTGGCCTAACGCCTTGAATTATTGATAAGAGAGTTCATTGCAGCTAGCATCACCAAATCATCTGCTGTGGTGGGATTGTAGATCCCTGTTTTCCAAACAGTTGCAACAGACAGAGGTTGAAAGCTCATGAGGATTAATCAGAGCATTTTTGCTGTCCTCTGTTCAGCCTTCCTGTTAGCTGCTAAAATTCCTGCTCTCTCAAAGTCTGGATTAACTTTGGAAATGTCTGGAAATTTAATATGAGCAAATTATCACATGTTTTTAATTCAACTGACAGCTTACTAAGGACGGTTTTATACATGGCTTTCAGGGGTCTTCTGCCTGGTTTTTAAACAGATGTCCTCCAAACATAGCAGGAATAAAGCAGATTTCAGAGCTGTTCTGTCTGTCTGGAAGTGGCTTTCACTCAGAGGAAATGAGTCTGTGATACACAGGCATTGCTCAAATTCCTCCCCTTGTGTCATCGCCGCTAAAGCAAATAATGGCTTAGGGGGAAGGATTCTGCTTCTGAATCAACAGATTGTTTGTGTCTTCACAGGCTCAAAATGAACACTATTTTTCAGCTTTGAAACAGAGAGAGCTTTTTAAACCAGATGACGGCTTGCTCACTGAAATCCTGATGTTTCTGAATCCGGTACGGAGTGACGGATTTAAGAATCGTCCCAGACTTTGAGCCAAGCCATTAGATTAATTGCTGCGAGCTTGTTTGCTGAGGGAAAGGGTCGTATGCGAAAGCCAGTCTGGCCGGAACAGTATCAGCATGGGAGTGGTTTTTAGTTTTTTATTTGTCCTTCAAGACACACTCTCTTCCTCACTGACATGGATAACATTTGAAAAATAAGGTCAAGGAAGGTAAAACGTTACAGTTTCACTCTCTGACACCTTTGCTGCTAAACCATTCTATCTTGAAGATAGAAAAACTCCTATAGATATTAAAACTTTAGGTTCTGCTAGACTAGTTCTACAATTTGAACGTTTTCATTGTTTAGTCATAAAGCACACTGCAAAAACAATCTAGATACATGTAAAAATGTCTTAAATGAAATGTATTTAGCCTGATTTTGAGTAGTAAAATAAGATAATCTGCCACTGGAATGAGTTATTTACTCTTAAAATAGGATAATTAGATAATACGCACTTGAAATAAGACAATGCAATTGTTTTTTTCTTATTTTTAACATAAATAGTCTTGTTCCTTGGGCAAAATGTCTCAATTACCTCCCCAATTCAAGAAAAAATGCACTTATTTTAAGCAGAAATTACCTAGTTTTTTGCTCTGCATGTTTCTAAAAGTCTCTCTACTGTGGTTTGACTGAATAGATTGAAATCTAAGCCCCTTTTAAGGTCGCTTTGACCCGAGGTCACTGCTCTAAATTGGCTAACAGTTTTTCTTCTCCTGTCCGTATTGAATTCTTAAACTCTCTTCTAACTCGCTCTTCTCCCCATCGACACACACCTCGGTAATTGATGGAGACCATATGTTTGGTTTGAATGGCCTTCTGTTCTGTGAAGCCCTTAGACACAGTCAGAGACGTATTACTACCTTGTTATTGGGCTACCTGTCGCTGCCCGGATGGCCATCACAGGCGGACGGGTTAAGCCTTCCAGCCCTGTTTCCGTTTTTCAGGCCTTCTCATGTGGCGGATCTGTCAAATCAAACTCACTGCTTCAATACATAATGGATGTAGATCTGACATGTTGGTAATCCTCACTGTTTTAATTACTTTTTTATGGAATCAGGCCGATAAAGGACATGTATGATCTCTCAGCAGAAGGGGTGAAAATTAAGGCAGCAACTAACGATTATTTTGCTAATCGATTAATCTGTCGATTATTATTTTTTTTCCATTAATCGATTAATAATCGGATAGCCAAAGGATCCTTCTTTAAATAAGATTTTTTTTTTATGAGGCTAAATACTTGTGCGTTCTCATGTGCTTGTGATGCGTCATCAGCCTCAGCCCTAGTACTGTGCCAATTCACAAGAACAGCAGACCGATGATGAAACAAAGTCCCCAGATGTTGTTCTTGCCCCTCCCTATTTACCCAGCATGCATCAGGACAGACTGGTTAGTTCTTGAGAGAACTAACCAGTTGACAGCTGTCCCAGCATGCAATGCGGCAGAAGCAGCCTCCAGGTTAGCACTAAGTTAAAGGTTCTCTTTTCTGTCGCTGTTGTTCAATAAAAGTACGCTTTAAGATCATTTGAGGCGAGAACATTATTCTTTTAAGCATATATGTGCACTATATGGCACATTTACTGATTTAATGTGTAATAAAAAAACAATTTTCTGAAGTTGAGACAACCACGGCAACCAGCAGACCACCAAGGGTAACGGCAGCCAGGGTTAATTGTAGCCCCTCTGCAGCAGCCCTGGCGATATCTTGTGTGTTTATCTGAATGCGTTAATCATTATTCCCCCAGTAAATGAAAAAAAGTAAGAATTTATTATTATCTAGAGACTATTGATAACAGGAGGTGAAATGCAGCTCCAGATGAGCAGAGCGTGTGGTGATGTCATCAGTACGCTTCTGTTCCAGTTGACCCATATTTATGCTGCGTGCTCCCGTTCTCCCAGAGTCCAGACTGTCCTGTGTTCTTCTCAAGAACACACTTGGCGAGTCCGTACTCGCTTTCTTGTGAATTGAGAAATGGCCACGGTTCAGAGTCTCCCGTCACTCCAGTTAACGATTTATCGATTACTAAATTAGTTGACTATTATTTCAATAGTCAATTAATCACGATAAATACAAATACTTGTTTCAGCCCTAGTGAAAACAGTGGCACAGTTTTCATTTTGTTGTTTTTTTCTTCTTCTAGGTGCTTGGTCATGTTGCTTTGGCATTTGGTGTCTGTGTCCTCTTTTACGCGTTACGCTAAACGTTTTCTGAATATTTTATTAGAGATGTTTTGATGATTGAAGGCAGAGGAAATGTGGTTATACGACTGTAATAAACATCCACCAGGAGAAAATCCCTCAGTTTGTCTAAATGTGGTTCAGATCCAGAATTGGTGGAAATGGAGCATAAAATAAACTCTGCAGAAAAATCTTTTTTGGTCTTAGATTTCATTCTTCTCCAACATTTGCGTCTCACAATGCAGCATGCTCCATGTTCGGGTCAATATTAAGGACATCTAATATCAATTTTTTTTTTTTTTTTGCTTCTATTTGTTCTAAAACTCAGGTTGCAAAAAGTTAACCAAAAATACATTTTCTTAAAATGAGTGTACCATAAATCCTCTAATATAGGACGGGGCCTTTATTTCACTCAGGTACATCATGGTCCAGGCCATCATTGGAGGGAGGCCACAATTAGAGACAGGCCTCTATTTCTATCTGATCGAAACAGACTACCAGTGGAATAAATAAAAACAAGATGTTGTGTCTCTTTGAGCCTATAGAATACTGGGTTCATTTATTGAAAAAGTAAAGTTACCATAACGCTATACAGAACATTATTCAGACATCTTCCTGCTGCAATTTTTCTGCACAGCAATACGAAAAAATAAAAGACAGAATGGAATCTTGGCCAAACTGACTTGCAAAACAAAGTTAAACATTTTTTTTTTGGAAACTGTTCTGCCATCACAGCAAAATTTTATTCAAGACAGGCTAAGTGGAAGTAGGCTACCAGTATCATATATCTCAAGGGAAATTCAGAACAACCGAACCGAGACAGTCGAACCGAACCATTCGGACGGATTTCATAAACCGTTCCATCCCTATTTAGTACAAAGATTGATGTTTAAAAAAGGACCAGCCAAGAGCCCATCAAGGAAAGTGGGGACATTTTGAATGACTACTTATTAAGTGCAAATATAATTTGTTCTACTTGTTTTCGTTGTTTTATTTGTAGCGTGCTTATCTGCTAATGCTTTAACCTGTACAATTTTGAACACCTCAGTTTTATTCAATTGATGAATTCCTGTAAAAAACAGATTATTACAAATTATTCTCTGTGTTTTTCTACAGATCTAGCTGTGAAAACCTCTACTTATCTAAACACATGCGCGGGATGTTCCAGTCTCGTCTACAGGTAAGACGTTAATCTAAAATAAAATAGACACATCTTACCGAACTCACAGCAGATTCATCTACACAGCTACTTTCTTTATTATTTATCAAAACATAGAAAATGTCTTTAAGGTTGTAAACTCAGAACATCAGCTCATAAACTGCTGCTGTCTTCCTCATGATGATAAAGAAAGGACAACTTGGTTAATATCAGTGATGTTACATCCTTGGCAGCATTCATACTGAAAACTCCTTCTCATTGAAGTAGCTGCCTACCTGGATATTTGCCCCACAGCTAAAAAAACAAAACAACAAGTAACAACAGTGTTCCTCCCTCAGCTATATCGTTAACCTCCTGATACTTAGTATTTTAAAGGTAAGACAGAGTATCAGGGTTTATTTTTAATATGATAATAAAGTAATAAAACAATGAGAATAATGTAGTGACATTATAAAGTCATAATATTACAAGAATAAA